GTGCCTGAGCCACAACGCTACAAAGAAACGCCTGTTCGGTGCTGATCAATTACATCATGGCTCATGGCTCAAGAGCCAATCGGCCAGTCAGTGTGAATCGAGCAAGATTCTTGACTAAACGGCGCAAGCTTCTTCTGAAAAAGTCGAAAAAGTCTTCCATTTCTTTGTTAGTATTCAGGCCAAAGTTACGGTCGTAACCCGGTTCATGCAAAGAGAAGAGCCCTACTGTAGGGCCCCTACAGACTCAGTCTCTACTTTTCATTCGAGATTTTAGGAGTTACATGCTGTAGCTCCCCGCCACATCCTACAGCGAGTCGCAACCGTGTTTCTCCTAAACGAGTCTATTCTCAGGAGGCATGAGGCGTGAGCTTGTGAATTTTACAATGTTAACTTGAGTGTTCCTTCGCTGCAATGACATAGACAGTATGGCGATAATTCATGCATTCAAAATCATATAAGACAAGAACAGATGTGAACTATCGACTCTCAAGAAATGGGATCGGAAGCAATCTTTTCTTGAGCAATATCCAATGGATTGAGAGAAAATCCATTAGAAGTCTATTAGATACCCCCAGTTACATGCGTCGCGATAGTAGCAAGGTTGATCACAGCGATAACAACCCTGCCGTTCCTTTATTGTCGATTACTTGACTGCCAATGACACCCAACACGGCATCGTTGAACAGAAATATTTTTCATATTATACTCACGACAAGACATAGTGCTGATAAGGCATCACCACAATCGGATATTGCACTATCAATACGCAATCATGTGAATTACACTATAAAACACATCCTTAACCGTACAACACACAGAAAATAGCAACAAAACATTTGTATGGATAGCGAGACGAAGTCCATACGTAAGGACTTGTGAAGTAACAGAGAGAAAACCGTCAAGCGAAGATGAGCAGAATACATCAATTATACTCGTCTATCGGCATTATTAACTAGCGGCTCATAGACTTCGGATTTGACTGTAACCCGATGGGGACGGGCACTGTTAGATATTGACGAAAGAATGGAGTTGGGCGAGTCGTCCATAACGAATGGCTTCCGTTCGAGAGGAGTACCAGCAGACATCGACATGGACATGGGAGCCCGAGTTGGATTCACCTGAAAAGCATAACATACCTAAACACACTGAAAGGGAGATAAGATACTTACCTTGTCGGGACCGGCAAGCCCGAATGGAAGGCGTACGATGTTGTCATAGACGAGCACACCGTAAACGAGTAGGACGAAACCAGCGAGTTGGATGAGCGAATACGGCGTTAAGGGCTCACCGAAAGAGTGGTCGTCACTCATGTAATACCTGTGGATTGATAACAGGAATTAATATGCGATCAAACGCCGTTGAACAACAAGAAGTGAATGAGGTAGTGATATCGCAATCATTTCGGGTCACTTTTTTCGACTTCTATCAAACGCCGCATGGTTGAATCGATTTTGCATACCATTCATTCCGCAACTTGCCCTGAATATTACATTATAACAGAACAGAGCCAAATAAGAATAGTCCTAGTAGAATCAAGCATGGTGGTATGGATAGCAGAGGCAGAGTTAGTAACGTTAACAGCGCAGATATTATAGGCGAAAGTGTTCAAAGCGTAGCCGAAGACACCACCAAGGACAATCTTAGAGTTGCCCATCATCGCAAAGGCATCCCAAGCGTTTTCGAAGACTCCACAACCGTCTTGCCTGGTACATGTTGCATCACTGGTAGTACTATACATGCCATAACGAGGAGACCCCAGATGCCTTCAATTCCGACTAAAGCCAATGGTGGTACAGCGCCACCTTTAAGGAGGAACTCTTCAACGACGTATTGAGAGGCGCACACGACTTGGCTACCGATGATGAAACAAATACCGGTAATAACTTCACCAGCAGAAAAACTGACAGCTTGGGAGTCCCTCGAGAAAATCGAGGAAGACCCGACCAAACCGAGAGCGACTACACAGATGATGACGCCAGCCCAGTGGTTCCGGTACATCTTACGTTTGAGGAAAATCACTGACAAGGCGGCTGAAAAAACTATAATGCTTCCCTTGAGCATTTGAAAGACAGAAACTGGAGTGTAGACCAGACCAACAGCTTGGAAGGATGTACCAACGAGATCAAAACATGCCGGGAAGAAAATAGCTAACCATGTCTTGCGAGTTGGATATGAATACGATCTGTTGGACATCCTGCGTGCAGCTAGGGCTCGGAAGTAGAAGACCAGCAATGCCAGGAACATACCAGAAAACATCATCAGTGACATGAACCATGGCTTGTTGAATAGGTGGACGCCGTATTGAGGGAGACCGATGGCGAAGCTTTGGAAAGCAAGCTTCTCTGAGATTGATTGCCCCGAGCCAACGATGAGACCAAGACCGAATGCTAATCCCAAGGTCGACACAGCCATAGTAAAAGACTCGGTATGGAAGACTGACTGAGAAGTAAGTACTGTAGAGTTGGCACGCCTAGCTTCGTCACCGTCACGCGCCACGAAATTCAAAACTGGCAAATTCGTGTGATTTCGACTTTGGATATTCTTGTACACTAATGAGCGTCCCATACCTCACTTGTGCTGGTGATCGACCATGACGGATATGAACACAATTCCACCGGAGTGCGGATGTTAAAGATGATTTTCGGAAAATACAATTATCATAAAGCATGATACACCGAGTCATGCGAGCAGGGTTGTCCAAATCAGGAAAGAATTGGGTCAAATTCTTTCCTCGAAATTTCCGTTGAAATTTCCTGAAATTTCCGGAAATTTGGCACAATATGAATCGTTTCGCTCCGCGCTGCGCGCGGTATTCCATAGGCCCATCAGCAGCGCGATAGTGGCGCCCCTGGGTAGGCAACCCGTAGGTTGAGCATGGCGTTTACGGTTCTATAAACCACTGCACTAAGAATCGACGCCCGCTGCATCGAAATCCTCCACAATCAGCTGGCAGTGGCTTCGTTATGTCTATATATGAGCAATGAGAGCGTGTCCAGCGTCTAGATAGAGTGGGTGTAATTCTAGATTTTTTCCTGCGAGAGTCACTTAGTGAGTCATCACCCAGTACTGACTCTCGTACAAAACGGTGATACCATAACCAGGAATCGTCCAAGATGGCCTAGTAGAGATGTATGCGGATACGTCATTCAGAG